CCTGAAATATTATTACCCAAACATCTTCGATGCGGCATAAAGTCATGAATAATAAATGTAAAATAAGCAGATTTTTAGTGGGGAAGTTTTTCTGAACTAAATTCTCAAGAGAGTAGTCTACCACGTAACAGGCCAACTCATCTCAACATAACATCTCAACATCCACAGGATAATACAGAGGAAACTGTGATTGTTAAAGTTACAAAAAAGCAAACAAAAACAAAGGCATTTCTATGGCTGAGAAGTATCTCGGACCACTAAGTGAGCCGGTAGAAGGAATATTAATAGCCAAGTCACAAGGTTCAAATACTTCTTCCATGGTTAGCAGTAGGGCATGTTATTTAACCACTCACAGTACCTTCCCCTATAAAGTGGGGACAATATTTGATCTGCTACTGAGGGTTGTCAGGAGGATTAAAACAATACAGGTAAAGTGCTTAGATTTGTTCCTGGCACAGGTTAACTGTGCCCTACATGTTACAACTTCAAAACTACCAAGCGATATAAATATGAAGCATGAAACACACATAACAGTCATGCAACACTCCAAGCATTAGAGTACTTGGATGAATTTATTAATACCTTACTTCATCTCATTTGTACATGCCTCTAAGTATTTCATAGGTAATACTGATATTTCACATTCCACATTGAAAGGTTTAAAGCATCTTTCCTGAGAAAATGTCTAGAGTTAAACATCAGAGCGGATGATCAAAAGGCTTGAAGTAATTCGCCCTTGACGGTGACTACAGTCTCCTGTTATTCCTATAAAGTGTGTTCTGCTTTCCTGAGTGTCGGTGTGTTTGCATTTCTACAAGTTAGAATTTAGTTTTACTCAAAGCAGTCACAAACTCCACCTGCAATGAATGCATGTATCAAAATTTAAGGCCATTTTCACAAAAAAGCACTAGATACAGAATTCTAATTCATGAATTCATATTCTTCTTGGCTGCAGACAGCAACCACTGTTGCTTTGAACTCACAATATATACATTTTGGGGGAGGTATGAGCTAACAGTATTGTGTTCTAGTCTCCCCACGATCCAATATTTCACTTAGATAATATAATAAATATTGAAAAAAAGTTAGTCACAAATGCAGAGTCACAAAGTGCATTCCTTTGTATTTTCATGTGGATTGTCTTTAGCAACCAATTCCAAAACCTATCAAAACCAGTGGATTCTTAAGGTGTAAGGATGCAGGTATGATTCTCAGGTTTTGGAGGGTTGGATGGCTTGGGGAATTAGCTAAAAAGAAACTTCTCCTGCCCGTAATTCAGTAGAGAATACCTGTTCCACTAATAATAGGTCAGGAGATCGACTTATCTCATGGTAAGATATTTTTTATTATCCAAAAGTCAACTTTAAAATGTAACATTTATTCATATACCTATACACATTTCTTTCTATTTATATACATAAAAACCACTATCTAAAGGTCAAAGTTTACAACCATAAACTATGCTTCAGCAAAAATCTGCGAAAAGATTCAGATTTTTTTTTTTAACTTTAAAGCAGAATTCATCTTCCATCATGGGAAAGCACCCGGTGCCTTCTCTCATTTAGTAAGTTTAGAAGAGTTTCCTTCCCTTGAGAATATATTTGTTTGATTTTCTGGAGTATCGTTTTCCTGCAAAGCTATTGCTATATAAAAATATTCCACCAAACACTGGCATTGAGTTATTTTAACATGTAAGATTAGATTGTGTTCCAAGGAATAAATAAGACCCACATAGTGACCTTTCTCATTCAGCTCTTCAGCCAGCCAGCTCACTTCCGTAGCCTAATCAACATCAGATAGGGGGTCGCGCCTTCAGTCTGCAACTCACTGTGGAAGAGACCACACAATCATCAAAACGGAGCACATTAAACGGTAGTGATGTGATTGGTCTACCACCACCATTACCACCTCTACCCCCTGTATACCACCAGGTCTGACTTAATTGCTTTAATCTGAGAGATGATGGTTAATTGATGGATTCTGACCAGTTCCCCCCATGAGACACAGTAGAATCACATCGTGGAAGCATTAAACTTATGTGAATTCACGTAGTTGTCCTAGGACAAGAGTGAGGAAGAGTGAGGGGAAGTGAGAGAGAGTTAGGGACTGGGTCTATCATTTTACTCAGCGAAGATTCTCACCGCAGTGACTTGGAAATGGGAAATAAATCAACCATTCCCTCAGGACGTTTTGGTCCTGTGGATTTCTCAGAGCCTGAACTTCTCTCGCCACTGTGTGCACACACATGCTCACATTTGTATATACATGTATGTGTTGTTGTTGTTGTTGTTGTTTTTGTCATTGTCTGACAGCATGACTCCTAATCTCCAGCAAAGAACTTCTGGTGTTCAACCCAAGAAACATCTACATGTTCTAATGCTGGAGTAGAAAACTTGTGTTTTTTAATACTTACTGAGAGAGAGCATGGAAATGTATTTTGTTTATTTAAGGGATTTGCCAAGATTAATATTTAAATACATTTTTTTTTTGCTTTAATGGTTACTTTTATGTGTCAACTTCTCCCTAGAGTTATAATTCCATTGTATGTTGGTGAACCCAGACTTAGCAAATGATACTATGCTTCCATTCTCAAAGCAGCCAATTGGCCGTATTTTATTTTGCAAACATGTAACTTACCATCGTATCACACTAATACTGAATTTTCTATCAAAAAATCATAAAACAAAGGGCATATTCAGTCCAATTTCCTTATATCAATTAGAAAAAATTCCATGCGACCTTTCTCAAGTCATAGGAAGAAAATAAAACTAAAAGACCTTTAACAATTAATTAACTGCAGCTGCTAAAGAATCAGCCATAAAAGTCACACTGTCCAACACGTCTGCTCTGTATCAGCAGGAGCCTCAGCATTCACTACTGGAGTAGTTACAATGTGGAGACAGCTAACTGCTCCCTCTGGCTCCATTCTCTCTTGGGTCAAAACAGCTGAGGTTGGTGGATGTCTCACCACCCCTAGGGGAATGGTATCAGGTAAGTAAGCCAAAAAATTGACCAGTCTCCCTTCCCTTTGAAAGTCCTGTTCGCCCTTCTGTTCTAAGCTCTTCGTCCTTTCCCCCACTGAGGGGACTACTCTTGCTGCTTCCGAAATGCGGGCATCTCACTTCCTCCTTCGGTATTGCTGGGGCCTACCTTCTTCAATTAGAATTCGCAGGGCTAGTGTCCAAAAAGTTGACAATGTAGAATCTGGGAGCCCAAAGATTTTAGAAGACTAGATTCATCTTGGTTTCCTCTCTAGTCTCTAATCACATATATCATTAGCAAAGTGAAGCACTATTGCAGGGGGTTCTGAAGAGGCACATGAATCAGAATTCCTAGACGGATGCTAATCACAGTAGCCCTGCTTCTCCAGCTCAGGCCTTCTGCCCTAGAGGGACTAGACTGGGAAATTCAAAAGCTGCTGGAACAGGAAGTTTTAAATGGTTCATGTAATTACAGACAATATTTTTCTTTTAAGTGATAATTTCATAGAGTATTATGGGAATGAGTTTTCAGCCCAGAAGTCCTTTTTTTTTTTTTTTTTACAACTTGTCACTTCATATTCTGTCAACACTAACAAGTGACTTTGATGGTTTCAACTATATTTTGTTTGCTTTAATGGATCATTACCGTCATTACCATTGTTTGATTCAGTCATTATTAGGTAGTTATTGAAGACACTTGTCCTTAGCAATGCAGGAAATAAAATGAAATACCAGGAGCTATCCTTTCGTTCTTGACATTTCCAGTCTCTCTGATTTGAGATACAGACGTGGACATTTAAATAAATAGAAACAACTTATAATTAAAATGTTCATTTATGGCACAGAAAATATGAGCAGCGGAAGAAGAAGGACAATAGAGGAGATGGTCTGTTTTGCTCGGAGAAAGTATTAAAGCTGAGATTGGGCTTGTTTTACAGCAAAGAAGAGGGAAAAAAAAATCTAAGTTTATTCATGCATTTATTCAGTAAGTATTTACATGTTAGGCTTTGAGGATTCAGTGGTGAACAAGATTAATGCTGTTCCTACTCTCGAAGAACTGGGAAACAGACAGTAACCAAGCGACGGCATACATGAATACATAGGAATCCTTCTCAAGTGAGATGACTATCAACATTCACGCGTGTTCGACAGACGTCGTAAAGGCGGATGGGGTAGAAGAAAGGCCTCACCTTGTAGAGACGGCTCTAGACACAGTTGTCCTAGGACTTTCAGACCAAAGCGCCACCTTGGTTTTCAGTTCTTTATTCTGAAGTTGAAAAAAAAAATGTGCAGAGATCACATAGTTGGCACATTTATCAGCCACGTGCTTAATGCTTCTGATCAGGCCTATACCGCTCCTTGGCAGTAACTGCTTGTCATTCCAGCCCCTCTAATAGAACACAAAAAGTAACCAGTTGAGAGTAACTATTGTCTCTGAAATTACAAACACACTCAGTAGCAATGGGACCTCCCTTTGCTTTTAACATCTCTGTGCCTAATTGCCTCATCCATATAATAGGTGTAATCACAGTCCCTTCTTTGCAGGTTCTGAAATAAAAATATGTAAAGAATTCAGCTCAGTGCCTGGCACAAATTTTTAAGATGTAAAGGCAGCTGTTTAAGAACTGGGCTGAGTCGTTATCCATGCACGGTATGTTTAAGTGATTTTCTTATTACATTTGCTTATCATTACTTCCTAATTTGTATAGAATGAATATGTTAGTTATGTACAAAATAATATAAGGAAAGTATTTATCAGGTAACATTTGCCAAAAGGCCACTAAGTAAGAAAAGCTGTGAGGAGATGCCTTCAGAGACATTTCTTAGGAGGCAGAGGCTCTGATGTGACACGGATCACATTATCTGAGATTCCCTGATGTGAACTGACCAGCCCTGACCGAGTACTTGACTGGACACTAGTTTTGAGCCAACATTGGACAAGCCCCACATTTTTAGCTGGCTGGAGCTATGGGCATTGTCTTTATCAAACAAAAAGTGTCATATAACCCAAAGGGAATGAGATTCTAAGGGAAGCCTGAGGCTTGAAGAGTTTATCCTCCAGAATAAAGGGAACAGTGACCCTCTGGGAAGGTAGAAATGGCAAAACAGGGCGAGGGTTCCCAAATTTAAGATGTAAAAATGTGTGCAACCTCTTTCTGTCATTATGATTTTTTTCTTCTGCTGAGGGAAAGCAGAAAGAGTAAGGTGGTGGGAGGAAGGGTGTAGAAGTGTGCTCGGGGCATGATAATGTATCTCTTCTCTGGCCTATCCTGGGGGAAGAGAATATGCTCCAAAGGATGATGAGGTTTCCAATGGATGTCACAGGACAGGACAGCCTGGCAGGTGACAACAAGCAGGAAGTCAAAATACTGAGGGATGAAGTAGAAAAGGTGAACAGGTCCAGGCAGTCAGTGACTAGCCATTTGACAACGACAGACGGGGTAGCACTGAGCACAGAGTCGAGCTGTGGTAGAGGCACCTGTGAGGTCCTCAGATACCCCGATTTCCGTGAGGGCTTTACCCCACTTCCTGTGAGGAAGGGGCACCACCAGCCTAGGACTGCAGCTGAGAGACTAAAAGGGCCTTCTCTAGATAAAGGGGAATAGGGAGCAGGAAGAAAAGCGTGTCTCATTACAATAAATCATAGAGTTTTATCTTAAGTTTTAAAACACTAAAAAATAAGAAAAGTACAAGAGGCTTCTTGAAGTGAGTGAGCCATGAAGCAAATCTTGGAAGCTTCATGGATATGAATAAAGAAAGAAGAGGCAAGAGGACACACCTCAGAGTGGGAGGCAGCATACCTGGCTACCTGCCTAGAGCTAACTTCACACAAGAGTGGCCTTGACCAAGCTTCTGATTCAAGACCACATCGAGAGAAGTTATCATCTGTCTCCCCAATATAACAAGTATTCTGGAAAATTTGGATGAAGTTTAATAATTACTTAATAATATTTAATATTAATAACCTAATGATATCATAAAATAATGTTTAATACGAATATTTTAATAATTATTAAGAATACTTGAAAACTATAATTTCTTATGCTTAGAAGATACACACACTCACAAAAAGACGCTCATATATATACATAGACACATGCACATGGACTCACACATAGACACTCGGACACAGTCACACACAATCACACACAGACACACACCCATTCACATACAGACATACTCAGTGTCACACTGGCACATCATCGTGCACAAGCACACACATGCACAATGTTCATAATAGGCTCACCGGTACACTGAACACACACACATACACACATGCTCACGTTCACACTGAAATATATAACAGATTCTCTCCTTACCTGAGCTTCAAGTATATTAACTTTTTCTTTCAGATTTTCAATTCTTTTATCTTGTTCTTTTAAATTATTTTTTAATCCTTCCATCTAAGAATTGGGAAACACAATTGGGAATATCTTATCAGACAACAGAAAATTAAGTCAGAAAGTGTACAGGTTTCTGTGGTTAAATGGTTTATCCAATAAATAAATCCAAAAGCATCAGCAAACTCAGGAGACTACAAAACATAGCAGGGCAAATTGGCTTCCGTGGATGAGCACATGTAGACGGTGCTGTTAAACATTTTAATCTTTAAAAAATGCATTTAAACCATATTCTGCAGGAGTGTATTTGTAGAAAGTAGCATTGGTCATCCTTTTGTCTCAGCCACATAACGTTTGCATCCTGCAGAGGCCAGGAGACACGATGCAAGGCCACTGCCTGGCATGGGAAGCCTCCTTGAGGCAGAGATCTGGTCAACCAGAGGCATAATGAGGTGAGCCTACTTTGCTTTGGATGAAAAGCATCAGCCAAGACACAGCATAGGGGAGGTGAGTGATGAAGCTCAGAACGGTGCAGGAGAAGTGGACAAATCTGGATTCCAAGGCCAACTCTGCTTCTACCGCTCTGTTATTTAACTACTGTGAGTCTCAGTGTTCTCATCTTTAAAACAAGAACGTGGGATATCCCTAAGTCCTCTCTGACTCTCAAGTGCCACAAGTCAATTCTCTTGGTGAGGTCCTAGCCAAGCAATCACAAATGCTACATTTATGTCAGGAACAGCCATTTGAGTTATTTAGAATTTTGGAAACAAATACTAGGTAGTAAAATGAATGAATGAATGAATGAATGAATGAATAAAAGTCTGATTTTAAGTCTAAAGCTAACCTCCCAAACCAAGGCCAACACATATCTTGAAGTAAATGGTCTAAGTATACAATCCACCATCCATCCAGCTCCCACTGCAATGATCTCTTCTCTTTCACTTGCCAGAATGTTCCCAGAGAACGGCCAGGTGACATCCCTGTTTTAACACACCTCCTAATTTACATGAAACTGATCAATCATTCCTTTCTCAAGAAAAGGCTGAATCTCCTAATCCACAAAATCTTCTAAAGGAGAGAGTATATCACCTGGCTCAGAACACTGAAACATCTAAAGAGAAGTCCCACAAAATTCCCCAGAACACTTCCAGGGTTGGCATACAGACAAAAGAGGGAATTGAAAACAGAGCTGAGTTGCATGGACATAAAAAGAACGTCTCTGTGGGGAATAAATCTCACTGCTTGTAAAGTCCAGGCAAGCCACTTGTAGTCGATCTTCTCATTGTAAACATACCAGCTACCAAAGAAGCATGCTTGATTAATCTGACCTCTTGGATGACACTGCGAAGGTTCTGATGTTGGGAGTGAATCACACACTGCAGATGAGAGATCTGCTCCTGGAGAAGGGATATCTGCATCTGAAGATCCTGGCAACTGGAAATGCAGAGGAAGAATAAAAGGAAAAGATTTGCTCATGCATTATACAGCTGTTTTTCTCCAGCTATGCCACCAGGCTCTCCTCACGTGCTAGCTGCTACTGGGCGTCGTGTGAGTAAGATGCCACATAAGACACACTGAAGATAAACAATCACAACACAGCCACTAAGTAGCTCAGACATGAACTTGTGTGAGAATATCAATTCATGTCAAAAGTTCATCTATAGCCACCTGTGACTCCCCTCCCTCCAGATATTAGTCAAGTTGCATTGAGCCTGGTAAAGCACTGACATATCTAATTTGTCTTGCTTATGAGTACCCATAGAACTAAAATCCATGAGAATATATGGGAACAGCAAGGTTAGAACATGTGGCCAGTAATGGGGATTTTACTGTATCAGAAACCAATCTCCAATGATACAGAGTTAGTATATGTTGTGGATTGCCTGTGTTTGTCTTATCTATCTATCTATCTGTCTATCTGTCTGTCTGTCTGTCTGTCTGTCTGTCTCTGTCTGTCTGTCTGTCTATCTATCTATCTACCTATCTATTTATTTAGCTTTCCACTTTTGATAATTCTGCTACCTGCAAGTAGGGCAAGAAAAATAAAGAAGGAAATTAAATTCCAGCTAATATTTTGAATCTACACATCAACCAGTGTGAAAAAAAGATGGGTGAAGTTTGAATTTAGGTTATTCATACTTTACTAAAGTTCCATTTAGGAAACAGAAATTGATTTTCTACCTTTTGACTATTTCTCTTCTTGCCACTATTATCTGAGTTATGAGGCAACATGCACTGTGACAAGATCACCAAACTCGAGGGCATTGTGACTTTGAGGTCACACACCTTCCTAAGCCTCAGTAGAGCAGATACAATAATTCCTACCTCTCTACTACTTTACAGATTATACTACAGACTTAAAGAGGTAAAGCAAAGGTGCTTTGGGGAAATCAGCTTTCACAAAGTAATGTGTTAACATCGTCTTAGCTTATTAAGGTTTTACAATTAGTAGCCAACATACAATGCCATCGCAGTCCTGATTTTTATAGCCTCTTCAAACATTACAAAAGTCATGGAAGTTCAAGTGACACTACAGAATATATTCTCATTTGAAAAAAAAAAAAAAAGTCTCTACTCTGTCTGACAACATGTACTAAAAATTATTTCTCAAACTTAACATGCATTGGAGGATCTTGTTAAATCATCAAGGATTTAGTTAAAGTGCACGTCCTGATCCAACAGACCGGGATAGGGCTTGCGATTCTGCATTTCCAACGTGCTCCAGGTATTGCCGATGGTTTAGCTGGTCCATGGATCGTGCTTCGTGTGCCTTGAGCAGCACAGCAATGAATCACTTAGGTTGTCTCAGTAACTTTTAACATATAATAAAGTCTCTAAAAGCCAAGCAATTTTCAGGTCACTTGCAACATTTAAGATAGTCTTTTAATTTTCTTCCTTTCTTTTAGTTTTGCATGAGAAAGTTTTAATAAAAGGTTTTTTTTTATGGTAAAAAAAGAAATTTTCTGTAAAACTCTAGAATTCCTTGTACAAGTACAAATAATATATAACGATAGTGATTATTTACCCCATGAAGTTAAGTAATTTATGCTATAAATGTACTATACAATTTACACAACATATATGTCACAAAATATGTTTATAAACTATAGTTCATTGTTCATAGCATAAAAAATGAAAACAATCTAATGTTCACCAATAGAAGACCAATTAAACAAATTATGCTAAGCCCACGCCACTTTCATTTTACATATACACACATCACAGACATAGACCAATAGATTTGATTTATATCAAAGATCATTCTGCAGAAAGTTATATGAAGAATGGTCTTTTCAACAAATGATTCTGAGATAATCAGATATTCATACGAAATAAAGAAAAAGAAAAATTCTACGTAGGCTGTGAATAACATTGGGGAACCAAAAGGCTTTCAAAGATAAATAGAAGAGCATTTTCATAAATTTGGAATAGAGAAAGATTTCTTAAAACATAAAACTCAAAACAGTATCTACCACAAAGGGAAAGACTGACAAGTTTGAATAGACAAAAATTAAAAACTTCTAGTAATCAAATAAGCATGAATATGGCAGCCTTAGAATATTGGTAACACGAATGACTAATAAAAGCACTGTATTGCGAATACATAAGGAACATCTAAAAATCAGTAGGACAGATACCCAGTAGAAAAACTAGGAAGTGACTTGACGAGGCACGTCACAAAAAAGAGGAGTTGAGGGTATAAGGGTCAAAACAGCACAGAAGGCAAAAAGCAATCTGGCCCGTGGCTGGTGCTGAAATTGCCCCCGTGAGGAGAGAAAAAGGAGGACAGACCAGTCAGACTCAGGACTTTACTGGGAAATCACGAGAAAGAACTTGGGATGCTTTGCAGAGGCAGGGCGGCTTTGAATCCTCATAAAAGTGTTCATAAATTCATAAACTGATTTTAAAAATACCAAATAAAAATTTCATTAGAATGTTAAAGGCGTGTATTCACGATGGTCTCATTGTGTCCTATGATGACCCAAAACTCTGAGACTGAAGGGAAATAAGTAAGTGGCTTTAGGAGGACAGTGGGCCGGGGGATGGGGGGAAGGGGGCAGATGTCACACTGTCCAAAATTCACAGTTTAGGAAATGTTCCCATGTATTCCATGAGAGTATTACCAAAATAATCACTGTAAATAAGTAAAATCTGAAATAGGATTCAGGATAGCAGAAAAGGATTTCTTGACGCGCTGGGCTTTCGGACTTATCTGCATTAGTATGCTAGACAGCAAAAGAGAGGGAAGCTGAGGATCACAACCGCAAGATTAGAAGAGGCCAGGTCCTCACATTTCCCAGGCCAGACTAAGATGAAAACATAAGCTAAGGCATAGGTGTGACCCTACTCACATTTCAACAAAACTCAGGAATGTGTATTACTATTGCCTGTCAAAATCTTCCCCATTATTATTTTCATTGGTGGCACTAAATTGTGGGCTTGAGAGAGCCATCTAAACTACCACAGGTAAATGTACAGTTTAAGAAACAATGATATGCTTTAACATGTAACCTCAGCTCCAAGATACCCTCTTTCTTTCTCTAAAGAATTTGCAATCTTTAAATTGCTCATATAAATTTTACACATTCATAGAA